TGAGTGGGTCGACGTCCCACTGGCGCGGCGAGTTGGTAAGGCGCCCGTGGCCGGGCGTCGCTGGCCCCCGCGTGGCAGCGATCTGCTGCCGGAAGAGCTCCGTGCCCTGATCAGGAAACTCAGCCCGTGCTTCAGCTGCAGACAGGATCTTGCTGTCCAGCGCTGGCGACGGCGGTGGGCCGCGCCTTGAGCGATCACGGAACGCCGCCGACGCCGCTGCTCCGCGGCTCCCTCCTGGAACGCATTCTGAGGGGGAGTTCGAGGCGAACCCGGCTGTGGCGACGAGGGGGGTGGGGGCGCCGGCGTCGGTGCCAGTTCCTTCTCGGACACCCCGCGCGGAGCGGTCGTGCCCGCAGGCTGATCCACGTCGGCGCCTCGCGCGCTGAGCGCCCTTCATCCTTCTCAGGGGCCCAGGGCCCGAGAGCCGCAAGGCGCAGTCGGATCGTTCCAGGCGGCGCGATGTCAGGGGTCCACGATGCCCCCCGGCCGCTTCGCGCCCCCAGTCTTTCCAAGCCCCATTGACCAGCAGGCGCGCGGTGCCGACGATTGCGGGAGTCTCAAGCGCATTGTGGCCCTGGCAGGAAAGGCCCGGCCCCGTCGCCAGGGCGGCGCCGAGGCCCGCGACGACGGCGCTCACGAGGACTGCGATCTGCCGCGGCATCCTGACAGCATGTCCGAGCATTGGGATGTCCAGGAGCCCGCGTGTCCGAGAGCGCCTCTGTCGAATCTCGCAGGGGCCGAGATGGCGCCGGGGGCGGGGCGGGGGGCCTCGGGCCCGGGCGGGGCGGGCGGCGATTTTAGGAATCCGGGGGCATCCTGAAGTCCCTTCCGGGCCCTTCCTGAGAAACGCTTGCGATTCCCACGAAATATACACACATACATGCCTATACGCATAATTTACATGTACATATACATATACATGTTATAGATATGTATATCCATATGTATATGTATATATATATATATATATGTATGCATTCAACTCGCGGCTCGGGCTGCGCAGCCCCCTCGTCCCCGCGCTTGGAGATGCGAGCGGGTCCTGCGAGGGTGCTTTCTTCGTGAAGTCTGACATCCGAGAATGCGCGCTGCCCACGGCGCGCCTCGGTCTCGCCGCCCGGGCGAAACATCGCGACTCTCTTTGCGCCGTCATTCGCGTCGTTGAGTCTTCTCGGCGGCCCTGACGGGCCCCCGAGTCGCAGGGGCATCGCCCCCGTGGCGCCGACAGCGATGCTTGGCGCCCGCGCTCCGACATTCCCCGGGGCCGAAGGGTCGGGGGGCGAGCGGGGCGGGGCGGCGAGCCATGTGTATTCGGTTTTTGAACTTGAGCGCAATGTTGAAGCGCTCGCTGGGCGAGCTGAACGCGCGAACGTCAGTTGTTTCATTGTTCTGGGGGCGCCGAGCTCCTCGGGCGGCGAGCGCTCGGGCGCGCGGCGCGATGGCGCGCGCTGCGCCGCGCCATGATGCGATCGTACTTTTGCGGCGCGGCGCGCTTCGTTTCCCGCGGCGAGCGCCCCTCGAAAATCCACGGCGACCGGCGAACTTTGCGAGGGCAACAGCGCGGAGACAACGCATCAATTATTTCATTCGCGTTCTGAGGGCCCCACCGTGCCATCGCATGTTGGGGCGGGGCGCGCCTTTCATTGCGCGCCCTCGCGTGCGCGGTGCAAGACCGCCAGGGGCAGATTTCCATCTTGACTTCGGCAACTGAACGTCGAAGACCAGCTGTCGCATTATGATTTTGAGGGCCTCGACGTGGAATGCTGCGCGGCGACGGTTTGGGGCTCCCCCCCTCGCGCGTTCAGCAACAGTTATCAGTAAGGAATCAGAAAGCAGGACTGTAACAGTGGAAGCAAGAAGTTGCAAGTGGAACAGGGAGCTGCAATCCTCACCCTCGCAGCGTGGTGGCCCCGCACGAGGGTTGGCGGATATGGATAGATGGATATATGGATATATGGATATATGTATATATGGATACATATATACACATATTCGTATATTTACACAGATTTGTATACACGTGTATATCTAAAATTTTGCATTGCGCGCGCGAGAGCGCGCGCGCGCGAGCAATGGGAAACATGGGCTGTGTCACAATGCGACGTTTTTCGCTGAGGCCGTCGTCAATGCTGAGAAAAAGTCTGTCCCCCATCTTTGCTTGCAACCGTTGGAAACGAATGCTCGCGGCGCTAGGACGAGAACCACGCCCTGAAAAGGATTCGCTCTCCCTCGGTGAAGCGCTCGCAAACGTTCAAAACGGATGTGCGCGGCGCTAAGGTGATATATCCTATTCTGCAAAACTCCGCGAAGCTCTGGCCACCTTCTGCAATGCGCGCGACGTTAAACCTATATTTTTCATTTTGAAAGCGGCCCGCCCTCCATACGTGAACCCCCCGTAAATGTTTAAGACGGATGCGCGCGTTGTCGTTTTATGTAGCGCCACTCAGAGTTCCGAGCGTTGCGAGGGTCCCAGGTTTCACGCCGCTAGAGCCGAGCAGACAAG